TTCTAAGGAAAACCATGACCTTTTGCCTAACATTGCCATACAAAAAAAAAGTAGTGAGTGCGATAATTAAAGAAAACAATTTTCCTGGCTCTCACAATCAGTTTCATAGAGAAGATGAATGGGGCACCCGCGAGTATTGGCACGATTTTTGGATGAACAATGTGTCCAAGAAAACTTTTCAGGCACATCCACTTGACCGCCTCACATTTCATTCTCTAGCGAATGTCGTCCGAAACATTTTCAAGGAAAGGCCAGAATAATGAAGATGAAGAAAAAATGACAACAAGAGTGTTCTTTCAAAGTTACAGTTTTTTCTTAAAAGTGTTGTTAGCAACTCCAATAAACTCCTCGTAGATAGGGGCACAAAACCAATTTCAAGCTGTTCAATTGAGAAATATCCTGATCAAGACAGCGATCAAACTTCTCCAGGAAGCAACTCTTTATACAAAAAAATAACAGCTTTGGTGCACCCGTGAACATTACAATACCAATTTCTCCCAGACATCATGTTTATCCTCGAGATGTCGACGAACAATTTCCGGTTGTGATGCCAAAATATATAGAAGCATGCCTGAAATAGTCAACCATGGACATTAAATCCAAGGATGTGTACGAAGTAATTATTGTACTGCAAAAGAACCAAGGAACGAAAAAAGTACAAAAATGACCTTTCACTGCATTATGCGCAGGTGGAGCTAGATCGTCCATTAGAAGGCACGGAATAAGGAAGGCAACAATCTGAATAAAAATTCGGAAACATCACTCATTTAGTGTATATTGAACCGTAATCGGATGACAAAAATTCGAAAACCATGTTCGCTTAGTAAAACAAATATTGTTAAAGACTTACAATATCGAAATGCTCACAAAACTGAGGGATCTTAACAATACGTTTCCAATAGTATCGCCACCGAGCAAATATTAAGACATCTACGTCCTGAGCATTAGAACATTAGGAATGATTGGAAGGAAAACGGAGGGAATTAGCCACTTACTTGGGAAAGCCAATGTAGTGGTATATCTGAGCACGTAGAGCATATTAAAGCTAGGAGGAATTTCAAAACAGCCTCCTGAAATGGAAAAAAAAAGTTCGGTTTGAAAGCATGTTTGTGACTCTCATAAAAGGAGCAACTACTTTGAAAACTAGAAGCAGTAGAAGGACTAGCTTTGGTAGTAGAGAAAGTCATGTCTGCGAATGCTCAAACGAGCACCACAACAACAAGGGGTGGTCAAAGAAATCGAATCAAAACTACCAAGTAGCATTACGTATAGGAAGTTTTGGCTGTCATAAAAAAATCAGAACATCGTCAAATTCAACCTGAAGAGGTTTTATACAAGCAGGGTGTGAAACAGTGTAAGCCTTAGGCAGCGTGAGGAAATCGGAAGAACGGAGTCCTGAGATTTGCAAGACCTTTATTTCTCTTCCAAATCTATCTGCTACAGTTATTCGCAATGGAAAAGATCGCAGTAACGAGTTTTGTATCTTTTGCCACCCTTGTTTCATTAGCGTTTTTGAGAAATCTTTCCTTTGACCTTTTATTGGTTCCCTTGGTAATGAAAAAGAATAGTTGCACATTGTGATCTTGGATGACGCTTGAAGAGTTTAGATATTTCGAATCTTAACCAAATATTCCCGGTCTTACCCAGTAACAGATGGGGGAAGGTGGAGTAGAGGCAAAAGGGACACACACGCATGGTGTAGGGATCGAATCGATCCCTACACCATGCGTGTGTGATACTGGATCGATACTCGCCTAGGCCAACTAAGCCTTCCATACCTAAGGGTCGAATAATTGGTATTGGGCTTGTTTGGAAGTAGTTGCTTTTTTTTTAAAGCCAGCTGTTCAAATGCCACGTGAGTTGAGGGAGATACACTCGAAGCTGCAAGAAAGTGGCGGCGATCTGCGCTTCATATGCAATGAAGGAGGCAACGACACCAACTTTACGGAATTACAAAGATAAGACATGGTTCAAAGTGTTCTCAAGGGATCAGTATGTTAACGTGGACCTCTGATCATCAGAAATTCATGGAGCAGTTGAGAGATCTCACAAAATTAGCGAGTCACAAGGGAGTAATGACTATGGCGAGTTCAGATCGCACACATTTTTGGCGACTCATGTCAGCAAAAATTATGGAAGCCAGATTGAGAATAAGTGCTTCAGCCACCCTACGATCTTGATCAGAATCCTACTTATTTCGGTCGTTACAAAAGCCTTTCAATGGGAAAACCTTGCCGAAAATGAAGATATCACACTTACGTGGTCCAGTTTTTTCCCCAAAAGTTCTACGAGGGGCGAGCTTGGTAAACTAGGAAGGAAGGCAAAGGGTTATCAAATAAAAATCGGTTATATACCATTAATTACGGTCCGTTCAGTGAAAGAAAAACTGTTTCGTGGAACGGTCCAAAATCGTAATTACTTTCCTAACCACCTAATAGCTGGATTAAAACAACAACAATATTGTTCACAGTTATTACTCACCAGTCGCGCCACCGACTTACACCCAGCTTTCCTCCCTCTTATAACGGACTTATAATAATCGACAAATCAGCCCCACCTTATTTAGAACAGATAATACTTTTCGAAACACGCAATTTAACAGAGGACTAACGGAGCATGCAAGTGGTGCTCAAAAAGTGCTGATGCTTATGCCTTTGTTAGATGTCACGATATGTGGTCATCTTAAAATTAACCAAACGGGTCGCCCGGCTAACGCCGCACTCCCCCCCCCCCCCCCCCCCCCCCTCTAATGATAGAGTTGTAGTAATCGGCAAACAGCTCGCTCCTTGTGGCATGCAAATGGTAGTCAGTATGTGTCGATGCTTATGCCTATAATTATTAGGTTGATGCATAACTATTGCGGATTTTTTCGCGGTTTTTTTTTCCTCCCGAAAGTGTTTGACTATTGAGTTCGGGCTTTTTCTAGAAATGTTCTACTTGATTTCCTCTACAAGAACATACTCAAAAAACCATCCGCATATTCGCGAAATTAGGCTTAAGTACTTCGAGAAAGATTGGAAGGTGGCACAGTCATTCCGCGATCTCAGCAAGTTTCCGGAGATGGAACAATCAGCCAAAGCCAACCAAGAAATGGGATCTGCCCCTAAATCTGCCATATTCACCAGCAGAAACTTTTATGGATTATCTCGTCAACCGTTCATCGAAAAAATGGCTAGGGAATAGAAGCTACGTCGATTTGGATGACTTGATGGCGGATGTCAAGGCGTGGATCGCCCGTAACGATCAAATCTTCTTCGCTTTTGGGATCCGACTAACTAATCAGTGGGAAGCAGTGCTTGACATAGATGGTAAGTAAGTTTCGGAGTAATTATTTGAATATGTCTTTGCTTAGTATTTCTGTAGTTTCTTTAAGTAAAATTTGCTGTAAAAATCCACAATAATTATTCATCAACCTAATATATAGAGGCAGGTAAAATGCAGAGAAATGGAAAATATCAAAATGTTTGACCGTATTCGACCGTGTTTGACCACCAGGACATCATGTGTACTTTCACTAGACCACCTAATGAACGATCGCTGAAAAGTTACTGAGATCGCGGAATGAATGCGCCACCTTCCAATCTTTCTCGAAGTAGTAAAGCCTGATTTCGCGAATATACGGATGGTTGTTCGAGTATATTCTTGTAGAAAAAATCAAGTAGATCATTTCTAGAAAAAACCCGAACTCGAAGGTCAAATTCTTTCAAGAGAAAAAGAGCCGCGAAAAAATGCGCAATAATTATACATCAACCTAATAGAAGTCTCGATCAGTTGGTTCATCTTGATAATAGTGGCCCATTGAAGATTCAACTGAAGGCCGAATAAAATATTGTCGTCCTTGTGTGTGGAGTCTAGTCCTGTCACCAACCATAAGTATTCCCATCTTACCTTCCGTTCTTCCACCAAATTTTAGCCCTCTATTGCCCAATACGTATTTTTTGAGCAAGCCTCCCCCTGTGGGCGGAGTCTTGCCCTGCCACCTATTATCAGTGTTCCCATCTTACCTCCTGTACCACTAACGAATTCTGGCGCTCTAGGTCCAATTCGAGTTTTTCTGTCAGCCCCGCCCCCTAAAGGTGGAGCCCTGTCCCAAAACTCACCGTAAGTGTTACCATCATGCCTCCTGTGCTCCTACTAGATTTGAACTCCCTCGGTCCACGGAAACTGAAGTTGTATCTTCCGCTCTAAGATTTATTCCGCACAAATCCCGCCCCTGTGGGCGGAGTCTGGTCCTACCGCCCACCATAAGTGTTCCTATCCTGCCTCCTGTACTCCTACAAATTTGAACTCTTTGTCAAGGGGAACCGGAGTTATGAATTTCCGGAATTTTTTTCCATGAAAACAATCAGTACGACGGTATTCGGACTCTTTTTCTTCAAAGACACAGTTCACGATAATTTCGAGGTATACTTTTTTATTCGGAAAGCGGTAGTATAGTTTGGGAATAGTTTATCGATAACGAAGAAAGCGAGAGAAATCGCCGATTTCGAGAAAAATATGGCTGTTCAAAAGTAAGTAAAATAGAGATTGGACGAGATTACCATGACGGAAAAAATATGGAATAGGTATTCGGACGAGATTTCAGTTGTTGCAGTTGCGCAAAGGACTGACTTCAGCAAGCCAGAACTGTACAGAAATCTTTCACTGCCGCCATGGGTCATGAAAAGTTGTTCGAGATTTCAACATAAGAGCCCATTGTGAACGGTGCAGCCTTTACAATGGCGGTGGAACTCGTCCGAGGATACACATGGTGCAATCCTTGAACCTTTATAACGCCCTAACTAGACCGTTTCCCGATCCAGCAGCGGCAGATATGGTATAGTTGACGAAATCTTATTATGAGGAAATTTCAGAAACCAGTTTTATCGCGAACTGTGCCTTTAACCCGGTGCACTCAAAGTTGCCGCTCCTCTATTTCTCTATATGAATCCCTGCATTGAAAGCAGTACACTGCAAATGTACTACAAAATGTTTTGGTCATTTGTCACCAGCATAAGATTGACAAAAATATGTACTTCACAACAGTGACTTACAACATTCTTCGCTGGCCTTTGACAACTCAGCAGCATTTTGCCGACACTTAGTAAATCAACAAGCTTATCAAGACGGCTCTGCAGTGAAATAAATATAGAGCAGTACCCGAAAATCGACAGCATCACATTCCTAAAACGAGACAATATTACGCAGTGAAAGAAAAGTGTTGCAAACTGAAATGAAACAGTGTTGTGAAAGCGCTAACTGCTTGAATTCTCTAACTCCATAAGACTTCGTAATTATACTAAAAATCGATCCCTTGGGAAAATGCCTCTCGCTTGATTGCGTGAAGCTATCTTCAATAGAAATGTGCTCTGATTTTTCTAGAACATATTTTTTTTCTCATTAGAGAGCAACGCAGGGTGATTAATAACTAGCCAAAATTTTGAAAATTCCGGAACAAAATATCTGTAGTGAACCGGTGAAAGAGGCTTATGTGCAGTAAGGTAGCTGACCCTGACGGATCTAACTGCTTTCTGCCTGACGATCCTTCCTCGTTACCGTCTTCATTTTTTTCCTCTACTTTTAACTGCAGCCATGTCATACATGACACACTGAAGATGCGCTAAGTCTACCATGACTAGACGGAACTCAAACACAATGCACGATGAGTGGCCCTAGTTTTTGCAAGAGTGAGAATGAGGCACTGAGACCGAACTCGATAATCATCTCCCGAGAGCCACCAAGAATATTGAGCAAAACAGCCAGATTGGCAAAAAATGTTAAGCTAAAAAAGGCATATGCAAGAAGTATGTATGTATGTAGGAAACTATGTAGGAAACCAGTCACCCTTAAAACCTATGCTGGCTTTCAAAAAATAATTCCACTTGAAAAAGAAAAAAAGCCGAGAGCACAGCAATAACACTCACGACTTTGGAGCTTCTTCCGCGAATCTGTCCACCAGGCTAGATATCTTTCCTTCGGCCAGCCCACTGCATTCCATCCAAAAATCGAAATTCCTTGAAATATGAACGAGCATATGTTGTTCTCGAAAAAGCATTCACATATATACTCACTTCGAAACTCGACCATGGAATCGCTGATCGACTACACCCGAGTTGAGTGTTTTGTGCATAAGATCAGCCGAAGTGTCGAAAGTAGGAACATGGGCAAGTAAGCAGTCGAAAACCACCTAAAACATGTGGGAGTGTACCACGAATCAGCGCAAAGAATCGGTTTTCCTTCCTAACAAGGCAAAGCGACTGAAGCAAATCTGGAAATGAAAAGTCGCTCGAAAAGCGAAACTCATTCCATTTCATGCGTCCTCCACAACTCGGCTTCGAGTGTATTGCAATATTAAATGCGCACTAGACCTTGTACATACCCCTTTTGGATTAAACGAGCAAAAGATCTAATTATAAAGAGTTGACAAAAGAGAACCTGACTTCTTTTGATATCTTTGATACGGGAAAGAATTCCGTCCCCCTCATCATCATTTTGTAATGCGAAACGCAATAAACCATTCAACACTGCTTTAGCCCGGAATGCAGGTAGAACTGTAAGGGCAGATAGATTTTGCGAGATTGTTGTCCAGTAAGGAGTGAATGTAGCAGAAGTGTTAAGCAACTGCGGAGAAGTGAGTTCGTACAATATCTGAAATAAAATAATATCTGAAATAAGTTAAAATTGCATTATCAGTGTTTCGCAGATGTCGAGATAAGAAAAGAAGAAAAAAACACCTGCGCATCTTTTTGCTCCATGGCAAGCAGAAGCAGATTTAGACGAGCTTGCTCGTTGTTCCAATAGTCAATCAAAGTTAGCATGAACTGGAGATCTAGCGGTGGAAGACGACGACCATCGCTACGTATATGACCAAGCAAGGTAGGAAGCAGTTCATGCTGACATTCTCTTCCGCACTGAGACTTCTCACTGAAAACGTGAAAGCAATTTCTCTAATATAGTCTAGCGGATTGGTTGCAAAATAAAGCGTCTCAGTACACATAAGCGAAAAGCTTGCATTGGAGTGACTAATAGCAAGAAATATTTGAGAAGTAATTTGGGTTTGATTCTAACAAAGAAACCCCAGCAGCCTACCCAGCTGCCACGCCTTGCAAGTTGTTATTACAAACCCATACGCCAGAACAGTTATACAAATATGCATCCTTCTCCTGAACTCAAAGGCTGCTTCCATGAGCTGAAAGAAATGGAAGTGATACAATCCTAGGCTCACTAACTTTCTCTGATGACCTTCGCGAGCATCACCGCGGAGGGGCGGAAAAGCGGGGTTCTCTCGCCCCTTGAATTATCGTGAACTGTTCCTTTAACAGCACTCCTAAATGTAAACGTGACCTTCTTATTCCCTTCTATCTGAAGGTGTTCCCAACCCTTGAACGCGTCTTGTGGTTGAATACACCGGCTGCCTTGTTATTATATTGAGTCGTCTGTAGATGTCCCGTGCCAAAAGCGCTTTTAAATGCCAGGTAAGGATTGATACACAGTGTGGCCACGCTTCCATTATTTATAATCTGCCTTAAGGAGATAATGTATAATATTTAATCTGGCACCGAATGAAATTTACAAACTCATTAAAAAAAACTTCGTGTTAGTGTCAGCTCGCGCTGCTGTCATCATAATTTTAGCCCATACATATATGCGTTTTGAGCTACCACGCTTCCATGCAGAATTTGAAGAAACTCATTTCGATTCTCTTAGGTAATGCAGAAGTCCAGTGAACTGGAAAAGGCAGTAATAGAACTAGTTTTATCTCAATTCGTCCCTATCACGGGCAAGTGTAAAAAGTTGGATTCTCCTCCGCTAAACACGAGGCATATCCAGTGTCCTGGCCCAAAGCTTTACAAAATCGCCGGACTTTACTGATCCTCTATATCATGAGATTAGCAGTTGCGCCGCTAATTTTGTTCTTCGAGGCGCAGAGGGGAATACGGTCCGTACTTGCACTATCAGAAATTTTCGAAGAGCGTATTCTTAATAGCGCATCGAGTGGCGCTGACTAAATGCTTATCCCGCTTTTATGAAGTTTCTGAGGCGTACGTCAAGACAAAGAAGAAGTGCTGTGTCAAAAAGGTAAGAGCACCAGCTCCGCTCTTACCTTTTTGACACAGCACTTCTTCTTTGTCTTGACGGCTATTGCTGGCTATTGTTTGCCTTGTTCTGTACTTCCTTGACGTTTCCAATGCTCCCCAAATCGCGAATTTTCTTCTGCTTAGTTCCGAGCTAGGGAGACGGGCAGAAGGAACGGTTTTCTGTAATCGAATCGCCGCACGCGGCTGTCGTGAACCATTCGTTCAACGTTATTACAGCTCTAGCGTTCTTCATACAGCTCAATCGATATACAATCCTTACTTTAGGCATGATTCTACTATTAGTTCCATGGTTCCTGTATTTCTTACCTGCTGCTGCATTTTGCTATATCCCTTCGCGCGCAGCGTCCCTCTCGCCGCGACGCGACAATTTCGTTCCTACTGCACCACACCCCATCCCCGGAGTTAGGTGGTTAATCACATTGACTTCTCGACCGACGTGCTGCATTCATCGGGAAGTGATGGAGTTCGCATGGAAAGTGGTCCAAAAGAGATCCGGAGATTAGTCAAAAAAGACGTAACATGTAACAAACATTGTATTCATTAATTTGATGGCGTTAGGAAATCGTAGCACGATTTTTAAAGAAAAGGCTGAAATTGTCACTTTGCGTAAGTTGCTATGAGGCCCCAGATTGGGCCCTATGCCAACTTGCGTACCGGAAGAACGGCAATTTTCATAAGTTTGACGAGGTTTAGTGCACATGTTGCACAGTAAGCTGCAACATATCCTAGCGCTTCTCCCTTCAATCCTGGTTGTAGAACTAAAACACTCATTCTCACCCGAATTGTGCAATCACTGCACGCAGTATACTGTTTTCAGGCAAATGAGCATAGTCACTAGGCATATCGACGGCCACTGTCAACAAAGAAACCGATGCTAGCATCGAGAGCCCTGCAAATGAAAACTGAGTGATAGCAAACTTATTCAGGAGAGATGTACCTTCATAAAACTTCTTCTTCATTTCCTCCCCAGCATTCCTACAGATCTGATCGAAGCGATTCTTCAGTCGTCTCTCATACTTTTGAAAGACGCGTAGGGGCAAGTTGGAGATTTTTGCAAAAAAATCCTTAACATCTAAAATGCTTATGAAAAACTGGTATTGAATAAGATAATTTATCTCACAGAAAGTTCGTCCACAGTTCTATTCTCGACTACAGAATTTTCAAAGATATCTTCCGGGTCTACAGGACAAGAGAGCGACCGACTCAGACTGTTGGTGACAAGTTCATCCGCTCCTGAGCACAGACAGTACTGAGCGAAGATCAGTTGAAGACAAGCTGGGTTTATGCCCCATGGCTGGGCAGTAAGAAGTAGTCACCTAAGGCCGCTGCGAATAGCCACAGTTCTGACCTTTGAATGGTGCAAGACAGATCCATCTCTTCGCCTGCCAAGAGATCACACAACTTTCCTTCTGGGTCCGCCTCAAAAAAGCAATAAACAAATTAAATTCGTTATCACATCAAAACTTACCTTCGAAACTATTCGCCAGTCCACAACACGAGCAAATAAATCATCATCGAAAAAACTTCTGACTTCTGCAGAGGCTTTTGAACAAATCATCCACGCGGCTGAACGAGCTAAAGCAGTTTTTACGCAACGCTTCTGCTGAAATGAAAGGATTTTCGTCCATCAAAGAGATACAACTGAAGGCCAGTGGAACTCTAACCCACCACAGTAACTTCTGCTATTGGCGGAGTTGTTGGTTTGTAGTCATCAAACACAATAGGAAAAATGAACTCTAGAACGGAAATTACCCATGGTCTCATTGAGGTTTCAAACGCATTAATTGCTTCGGCAGTAGGTAACTGTAATGGTGACGATGATTGCGGAGTATCTATTTTAATACTACGATAGTTCATGAAAAGCAATGTACCAAACGACTTCTGTGTATTTTAAAAACTTCGACCTCCTTAACGACAACATCATTACAATAAGAACCCTAGAAATCAGAAGCAGTTGTACATCTGACCTGATACATGATTCTTGTCAGCTCTCCTGTCAATATGGCCAGCACGACAACAACATTATTTACTGCCAACTCGCTCGCCTTCAATGACCGTCTACACTCTTCAACAATAGAATCCCGGCTTCTGGAAGCTATGCCATAAATTTCAAGCAGCTTGATAAGCAGAATCTCGCGAATAACCTTGATCTTGACTCCTCGAAAAATTACTGTCAGTTTTCAAGGTTACGGTGTTAAACCAACAAGACGCCGCTATCAGTCTACATGGGCATTAGAAAAAACTACCTCACAAGATCACCAGATTCTGCATGGATACTGAGCAAAGTTGCAACGCATATTCTCCACCCTGCGAACAGGTTAACGAGATTGCTGTCCTCCGCAGGTACCTAATAAGGAATATTGAATTCACCTTACCAATCCTTCCTATTTGCTAGTATACCATAACGTTTACAGGAAACAACCTCTCTTAAAAGTCGACGCATTAGCTTTGTTGCCTGCAATGCTTTTGCTCCCTCACCACATTCACCTACGATCACAGAAAAAAGAGGTAACGTAGCTAGCCAGAACCAAGGCGCCTGCAATATGGCGCTTAAAATGAAAAGACCGCGAAACACCAGGAAACAACCTCTTGATTGGTCTTTCCAAAAGCATTATAAAGTGTATACACAATATTTGCCAGAGTACTCTTGCGAATGCGTAGGCCAGTATAAAGAGTACGGGACAGAGACTCGACCTCGGCGCATATCAGTTTTTGTAAGAAGATCGCGAACCCTTCAACATGTACTTCATAAATAGCTCCATGATTACCTGAAATGGTAAAACCTGCAGAAAAAATACCTTCTCTTTCTTTCTTACTCAGCCCTTTGAATATGTCAACCAGAATGCTTCCAGACACATCGATTACATTTTTAATGAGTGCAACATCGAAAGACCCTAGAAATAGTGAATTGAATTATCAAAAAAATGTTCTGCTCGCGCGGAATTTTAGCAGAATGGTGAAAAAGCAACGGAGAGCATTTAATTCAGAATTGTAATTTTGCAATAGAAGAATCATGTGTGCAGAAATTGTCCTCTAAACCTGACCCTTCTGAGCATGACAATTTCGAGAAGACCATCGAATCTTCCGCGGAGCCTACGTGTAAGTATTAGAGATAAGAAAAATTCTTGGTCAGAGGGTCGAAGAAGACGAAGAAAACAAGTCCGGGTATAGTATATGCCTTAACTGATAATTCCATTAGTCGTTAGCAAGCGGACGCGTTCGAACGATGGCGTTGTTTTGCGTGAGTTGCTGGTTGTGTGAGAGAACAGTCTCTACACCCCACCGTACCGTCGCACATTACATTCAATTGATGTGCTCCAAGATGCGGACAAAAAGGGTGTAGAATAGAGTCCTCTGACGTTAATCTATCCCGTTTCGAAATGCACCCTGCACCTGGCTTCATTCGGAATCGTAGTGGATTTTCTAATGTGTATTCGAACTGTAATGGGTAGCCAATATACGAATCTGGCACCAAACCAGACGAGCCTGTTACCAAGTAGCTGAACAACAGGAGAGGAGGGCTTCGTTGACCCGGGCGAATAATAATACAAGCTTCGATCACAAGACCGCTCGTAAAGAATGGGTATACTTCCTCATAACTTTCACCCAACTCGACCTTATGAATGCACGATTACCCAAGCGACCTATATCGTTACTGTCGAGCAGGGTCCTTGACAAAAGAAAGCCTGACAAACAAATGGTTGAAGCGACAAGCCAGGTCGGGTTCATAACACTTCGATTATCAGATTCTAGCCGGCCTCAATCCATAACAAAGTGGATGACGTGCAAAGAATTTCACTTCACTCGAGGCGGAAAAAAAAGGAGTGAAACGGACTGACCCAATGCGATCCAAGCAGCTCTTCGAGCTTCCTCAGTATCAGAAGAATTTTTACGAAGCTGAGTGATTTCCCACAACTCCACCACGCATTCTTGTGCAAAAGTCTAAACTGTTCAAATGAAGTCAAAGTGCGATCGCAAGGCTATGTCAAAAAGTTAATATCCAAGCAGCAAAAATGTCTCTCAAAGTGCATAAAATCTGATATTTAAAATTGCGCATTGTCACAACGTGAAAAAACAAACGCCTTAAAAAGTAGTAAAAAGATAAGAAAAATTTCGACCGTCCTCCAAGATGCCAAAAACGTCATGACATCCTGTCATAACAAAATGTTTCCAATGTTCCCAGAACTTGGCTGAAAATTCCTCGATTCACTTATGCCTAAAACGGTTCACGTACGCATGAAAAGCACTGCGCTCCAAAGTCATTCGACAGAAACCAGACAGCAAGAGTGATATGACAAGGGCAGAAGATTTTCTTGTGCCGGGGCCGTACGTAGATCCAGCCGCGCTCGTGAATTAGTTCGAAAATCGAAAAAATAGAAGTGTTTCGGAAAAAGTACGTAGTGAGGTACATTTTCGAATATAAACCACCGATTCAGCTAATGGCGGAGGCCGATTGCGCTTTCTTGCTAGCAACTGGTATTTACAATGGTAGAGTAATTAGGCATAGGGCTAGAGGTTGAGACTAGCATCACGAAAAATGACGTGGTGATGTGGAATTTCTACAGTCCAAACCAGAAGTTCGAAAACTGAGGCGCTATAAAACTCGAAATCAAGTTCACTCAGACACAAACTACAAGAAATAATAGAAGGCAATCACGAGACCTCATCTTGTCCAGAGGCAGTCGCACCCGTGGCGAGAATATCACAGTAACCAGCAAGAGCGGCTTCAAATTCTGTCTGTCGAACTCGAACGCCCAACTGCTTTCGAATAGTACCCACGTCAAGGATCTGAAAGATCACATAGGCATAGAGTTCACATGACATTTTTAGAGAGTAGGAGGATTGGCACCAGTCTCTTATATGACTTCAAATTATTGTTAGCGCAATGCATATATTTGCAGCAGGGGATAAAGAAAAAAAGCGTTTGGTTCATTTACCCCTTTTACGGAACAGAAGAAAGGGATCACAAGACTCATCTAAAGTGATCAGTAAATAGCAGTTGTGAGCTTTGGAAGAACATAGACAGTGCAAGAAATCCGATCCTCAATACATTAGGTGAAGCTGCCAGTGCCCGAAAAAATTAGATTCGTTATGAAGTAGCATTACGGGGCTGGACGACATTCTCTTCCGTTGATCCATTCCAGATGGCAAAAAATTCTTGAGAGCTATGCATAAGATGACATTTCCTAATACCGACAAGAGCGCAGTAACGCCGCATCAAATAGAGCCCTAGATACGTACGTGAAAGCAGCCGCTGAATGACCAGCGCTACAAAGTAATAATTTTGAGAAGCAGTCACACGGAAAAACTTCAAAAAAAAAACCGCACGTTTGCTAAAACACATCTTTTTCTTCTCGACATCATAAAAAGGGAAATCCTAATCGAGAATGACTACGAGATGAAAAAAAGGAGCTGGAAATGGTAGAAAGAGCTAATCCATAAGAACGAGGAACTCATTCTCCAAAGAAGAATTTTATGTATGAACGTAACGATAGAAAAACCTTAATTCGAACGAAACTTTCAGAAAAAGTCACGTCGTAGCTCTCAGGATATAGATGGGTTGAATGGAGATAAACATGGAAAATTTACCTCTTCCTTGCAAAGAGCAAGGACCACAATAATAGCCGCCCTGACGACCGCAGCTTCCTTCTTCAGCAAAAGAGAGAGAGATGGAAGAAGCTCATCGGATCGATCACTGAGGTGTTCAAAAAAAAAACAGCAGTACTCTGACATACAAAAGCAAAACAAAATTGTTAATTGTAAAAACTAATCAGCGTACGTTGAAATACAAAGCGCAGCCATGAGCCGGAGTTTGCATTCAAGCAGATCAAGACTATCCGACTCAACGGGAAGCGACAATGGTTTCACAGCGTCGAAGGCAGTGGGAAATCTGAAGGACAAATCCGAAAGTGTCCACAGAATTTTCTTCTTAGCGAAGATAGTCACTTACTTCGAAACTAGAGCACAAAGCAGATCATATGCAATACTGCGTTCCTCACCAGGCTGTCGACACACAATAGACAGAAAGTTGACGACTGGCGTAACAGCAAACTGCAACAAACCGCGAATTCTAGCAATATTAGTATTTAATCAATCTAGTATTAGAATTAATAGTAATAGGGTTTACCCTGTTGATGAAAAGACCGTTAACAGCTTTGAGGATGGAACGTCTGTCGATTTCGAAATACGATTTCGCATACAACATGCTGTACAGCATGAGGACAGTGTTGACCTACAAATTGTAAGCCGTCCGAATGAACAAACAATTAAATAAAGGTGCGTACTGCTTCGGGACAGCGTTCAGTCATCTCCTGAATGAGCTTGAAGCACTTGCCCATCATCTTGACTCCACAACGGGGGAGCAAAGCAGCGGCAAAAGTGATAGAATTTTCCGTGATATCCTACAACTATAGTGCAGCAATTTTTAGAGCCTAAACTTTGTAAAATTTCAAGATTATTACTAACCATATTTACGAGCAGCGAAAGCCACATATTCATAAAATCAACAATGTTGCGATCGTTCGAAACATTTTCTAGATATGAAAATGTCTTCACGGATCCGCATACTTCAGTTTCAGCAAGTAGCTCATTGGAGGATGCCACCACTTGACACATAGCAGTTGCATTTTTAATCTTAAGTTCGATAAATAATATGCGTAAAACATGATGAGATACAAACTCAGTCGATGACTGTGAATCTCATTCCACAAAAAGCTGTGGTTTGAATATCGAACAAAAGCAACACTTGGCTCACGTCGAGCTCTTCCATATTCCACCTTTCAGAACAGAACAGTTTCCTAGCTAAATTTTCTATATTTTTCATTACTTTAGTTCCATAGCTATAAAGCACTGCCTCAGCACTGATGCGAATCACCCTTTCTGCAGATCAAGGCTGTTCTCGTATGTGAGGGTGGAACGTAATCGCATATTTCACATGTTATTGTTTCGACCCTTCACCAAATACTATCATTCGCAGCCACCCGCAATGTATCCTCATTGTCTAAAATCCGAATATAAACGTTAACTCTGGTCATTAAGCTCTTTGTTGCAAACTTTTCTTTTGAAATGATATATCACCCATCACCTACATATGATCTCAGGTGTTACTCATAGCTACTCACTCCGCAATCACAGCACTCGCGATATAGGCCCTCCCCGCTTACTTGCCCAAGGCCTTCTTTCGATGTGTCAACTACGCTACAGGTGGTTGGAAACATCGCATAAGTGACACATATATGATGTGGTCTGCCGCTCCAGAGCTGTCGTCAGCTGCGTGAGGAGTGACTCAGTGTTTTCGTCGTTTTCTCTGCGTATTCTTTATTATGCATTTCACCTCCAAAAAGATAAAAAGCAAGAGGAAGAATTCGTCATTTTCTAGTGCGTGCAACTGAACAGTTCGGTCCTTACTATCCTTACTATGTATAAAGCGCTCTGTCTGCCTGTCTGCCTGTTTGTTTGTACGGAAATTCGATATAACCTAAAGAAACACCTGGAGAAGTCGGGTCAAGTTTGAAATGGGTTGAGCATAGGGTAAGTGCAACAGAGCACATGTGAGCCCAGCGGAGCTCCGCTCCTAAGAGGCGAGGTATGCGCCGGAAATGGGCGGGGTCATGGGCAAATTCTTCTATTAGGTGTGTGCATTTATTTCCGCCGTTTTTCGCGCGCAAAAACATACTTATTACAAAATTAAAACTTAATGTACATTAACCAATGTATTGCCTATCGTTAGCTACAACTTCTTGCCATCTTTCTGGTATCTTGTTGACTCCGGGTCTTGAAAAGGCTTCATCTTTTGAGGCAATCCTGTTATCCACCCATTTTCGCACTTCTTCGGCATTCCGGAAGCGTATATCTGCCAAACTGACTTGCATGGACCGGAATAGGTGGTAATCAGAAAGAGCAAGATCCGGAGTGTATGCGGGCTGAACAAGCCGATCCCATCCAACAACTGCAATTTTTTCAAAGGACATTCTTCGCAACATGGGGTCTGGCAAGTTCGTGGTGGAACGGCACCTCATGATATGTTCTTGCGATTAAGGTGCGCTTTTAGGTGAGAGCATCCTACAAACTGTCAAGTTGGTGTTCGTAGCGGTCAACAGTAACAGTTTCGTTCGGGCTCAGCAGCGCATAGTACACGACACCCTTTTGATCCCACCACCAAATGCACGCACAGCATTTCTTTTTGACGATAAACATTCCGCTTTTGTTGCAAGCTCTCGAGTGTAGAGAAACCATCTCAGCAGGTTCGTTCAGATAAGCATCCGGTGGGCTTCAATGCCAGTTTTCTTGAAATCAAACAGCACAGGAAGGGCCCCCCGGGGAAACGGTTCATCACGTTTCATGACCAATCAGTCTGAGAGCAACAGGATTTTGGGGGTAAAACTGAGCTGTCTGCCCTTAAGTAGGTAGCCAATACCCAACCTTACAGAACATGACAGGTTTCACTGGTAAACCTCTAACATGGTTCGCGCAGCAGCCCTTGGAATTCGGCGGCGGAAATTAATGCACACACCTAATACCTGGTCCCATAACAGTCCAGACGCCGGGAAAATGTGCAAAGGTGAGGGATGGGTCAACAAATAAAATAGAGGAAACTTAGCGTCGGTGGGCTGTGCGATCTCGCAGTGGGCGGTGCTTCCCACTGAGATTCATAACTCGATTCAGCGAAGGCGTCGAGGCCAGGAAAAAACAAAAAGAGTGAGCAAGGCCTCAAGCGTGCTGGGCTGCGTAAGCGTGGCGAAGCCCCGCCCACGATGGGCGGGGCGTACGTTGAGGTGAAAGCTATTTTCAAAAACGAGTGTGACTTCGTTCGGAAAGGTTTTAGAATACGGGGAGAAAGTGGTTAGAGGTTAAGGAACAAATGTGGTCAAATCCTCGAAGTAGGCGGAGTTGGCACTGAGGTGGGCGGGGCTTGGATCAAATTTTTATAACTCTGTTCAGAAACGTTCTAGAACGCGGGAAAAAAGTGTTAAGAGGTAAGGGAACGAATGTGGTCAAATCCTCGAAGCGGGCGGAGCTGGCACAGGAAAGCGGGCTATAACCAAAAATCCAACCCTTCAAAAACTTTCTAGAATGCGAAGAAAATGGTTAGGAGCAGTTAAAAGAAGGGTGGTCAATATTAGTGGAAAGGGTCTGCTTTGAGGTGTACGGAGCTATGATCAACCACTAATAGTTCTGCTCAAATGAAACATATCGAGCGTGATGCTCTCAGCAATTCTGCGTTCGAATCTAGAGAGAGCTATCTTATTCTAATAATCCAACATTCCGCTGATGACTCCATCATAGACAAGCGGTCGTCGACATATAATGCACGCGTCAGCAAACATAGCCCAACTGGTTACATATAACGCGCGTCGCACATGTTTGTCTGTCACGAGAGTTCAATATCACCGTAAGAAACAAGTGTGGGAGAAGGATCAAGTTTGGAATGTAGAGCACAACATATTTTCCTTACCATATTGTCAGTCAGTTAAGCCATCATCGGGACAACATGTCTTTGAGATAAAGAGCATGTAATCGAGACTTTCAATCATAGGCATAAACATCGGCACATATTAATACACCGACACTGCCCCATTGGTCCTTTGCCAAATTTTGTGTCCGTGAAGCACCATTTACTCTAAAGAAGCAGTGGCGGGTCAGCCCATTAGTACCACTCTGTTATAAGAAGGAGGGAAATCTGGCGCTAGCCGATTTCTTATCATCATTATCATTGCACGTACTTAATCATCTTATCGAATGCCACTCCCTTCAATTCAAAATTTCTTGGGAAATGCTGTTTGACACAAGAAGGAGGACAGCCCGGAGTTAGCATAGGGTAGTAACAACAGAGCACATCTCTGTACCTACCGGAGCTCCGCCCCGACTTTATAATTTCGTCTCAAAACAGAGACGTCGGGAAAAAATGGGCAAACGTGAGGGATGGGTCAACATGAAATGAAGGAGTCTCATCGCAGTGGACAATACTTTTCATATAAGTTCATAACACGAAGGCAAGAAGGCCAGAGAAAAAAAAAAGCTAGAGAAAAAAGCGAGTTCTCGCAGTTCTCCCCCACCCCCCCCCCCCCCCNCCCCCTCCAACACCACAATTAGTGGGACTTACGTTCAGATGAAGGCTTTTTTAAAAAACATAGTAACTCTACGGGCGAAGGTGGTGTAGTGACAAGTGGCGCAGCGGCGCTATCACACACACACACACTTGTCACGGATTCGGCTACCTGATTGATATCCACCAAGGCAAACCAAGCCTTTCACCCCTCCGGGATCGATTAATTGGTGCCGCACTTGTCTGGGAGGATGAAAGCGCTACTTGTACAGCGGCTGGCAACCGTAAATAATTGTTTAGACCATATACGCATTCATTACGCCACTACGTTCTGAATGGAAGTTGAATGCGGGGCGTGTCCTTCAGATGGGGTTAGGGTTAATTAACGCCCACGACTCTAACACTTATCCTTTATATATAACTCAGCCCAAATACGATCTAGAATGCGGGAAAAGGTTAGGGGTTATAGGAGAAATAAGATGATCTCCCCGAAGTTAAGGAGGTTTGCACTAAAAAGTGATAACTCTGTTTAAAAACATTCTACAGGGTGGGCCAAAATTATGATTACACAGAAATCACATCGCAGAAAACGAATAGAAAGCCAATAGAGCAAACCGATTTCATTAAAGGCTTTAGCACAAATTTATTATCAAAACTGTACATTGAGACTGGGATCTGTTGCCTTCTGCTTTCACCCAACCCCAAAGACGACGATGAACGGCAT